GTGCTCGATATACCGAAGTATAGAGCTAATATAGATAAAGATAAAATAAACCTGGTTTACTTCATAAGATTTATTCACTACAAACTTGTTTCGTATGACAAGCAATGCTTGCCACACTCATCAGGTGATTTTAAATTCACCTAATGAGTGTGGCAAGCATTGCTTGTCATACGAAACAAGTTTGTAGTGAATAAATCTTATGAAGTAAACCAGGTTTATTTTGTTTATGTATGTATGTATACATATATATATATATATATATATATATATATATATATATATATATATATATATATATATATATATATATATATATATATATATATATATATATATATATATATATATATATATATACTGTATATATATATATATATATATATATATATATATATATATATATATATATATATATATATATATATATATATATATATATATATATATATATATATATATATATATATATATATATATATATATATATATATATATATATAGCATATAGTACAATCTGCAGACATGCATGTTTCGGCGTTCAACGCCTCGTTAGTGCAGTTTGGTGCACGTTTAGATACATGATACATCCGTATTTATACACATGAGCGTGCTCTCACCAAGCGCATGTGGTACAAAAAGGTATATCGACGTGTATATATATATATATATATATATATATATATATATATATATATATATATATATATATATATATATATATATATATATATATATATATATATATATATATATATATATATAGAATTTCGCTTACCTCAAAATTCCGCAACAGTGAAACAGACTGTTGCGGAATTTTGAGGTAAGCGAAATTCTACATTTGCTCTATCTTTATGATATTGAGCACTCTTTGCGTTTCGTATACACAAACCTACTCGTATATATATATATATATATAATAGCTTTACATATTATATATATACATATTATATATATATATATATATATATATATATATATATATATATATATATATATATATATATATATATATATATATATATATATATATATATATATATATATATATATATATATATATATATATATATATATATAAGTTAATCAACTCAACACATTATGTTTCGACTTTATTGTCTTCATCAAATTTAATCCTACTTTACAGGCGAACCCAATTTATACCCCCCCCCCCCCAATTTTGCTAATTATGCATAATATGAATATAAGTGATTTACCATACAAATAAAAATATCCTGTTAACTATAATTAACATTGCTACGCATTCTCTATGTTCAATCCCGAAGGATGCATTGTCTTTAGTTTGCTTATCCAAAATGCCTCATGTCTGGTCGGTACCGCTGGGTCAGTTTTATCAATATATATGTATATATAATATATATATATATATATATATATATATATATATATATATATATATATATATATATATATATATATATATATATATCGCGTACCTAGCGTCGATGTGTACCAAGCACCACTGACAAGGCGTAGAACGCCGAAACATCCCTGTCTGCAGATTGTACTCTTACGCTCCTTCACTTCAGTGTTGTTGCAATTGCGCACTCTGTGAAGTTGTTAATGGTGTATGAAGCAATTTGCATGAGAATATGTATGTACTATTTAAAACACGAGTAGGAGTGTTTTATCAGATATATAACGCGAGGCGCAGCCGAGCGTTAAATATCTGATAAAACAGACAACGAGTGTTTTGAATAGCTTAAAATACGAACACAAAAGAATGCTAATTAGGATGAACCATTATATAATCATACTAATGAGGATGAACCATTATATAATGCCTCATGCTCTATCAGATATAAAGTCATTCCACGTGACATGTTATGGCTGACATGATTTGCCAAAAGGTTTATGAATTATTAATGAGTATTTTAAATGTATATAAACTAAATGCAATTTTTGCATAATGCATAATATATTTGACTTACACTTACAGCAAGGAAATGTTTATATACCTATATAATTATAAAATATAGGCCTATTATATGAGAATGAAAACCATAAAATTAATCAGTTAATTGGAAAGACTATAGTTCACCAGGTAGATGTATGGAATTGTTATAGTTCCTTATACATACTGCGGCCACTATAGTTAATAAATGGCCGGTTTAGTAGGCCCCAATTGATTAAACTAATCTTCAATCACAGCATGTCGCTTGTCTGGAATGTACTTGTATGTGCAAAGGATGTCAGCTACGGAATTCTAATAAATTATTCAGTATCAGCAATCAGCAAGAAATTACATGATTGTTTTAATTAATACTTCCTGCGATAAAGGATACTAAACACAAATTTTATTATACATAAACCAAAGACAATTAAGCTCTCTATAGCTAGATAGCAAGAACGAATATAAACATTCTGTGGGTTTTTTCTGTGGTTTATGTTGCAGCATTGTTAGTGCATGGGGTAAGTACAGTATCTTTCTTACTCGTTTTACTATTTAATCAGTACATATCTTGCATGGTTACACAGATTCATCGATTTGACCAAATTTCTTTTATATGAGGGGTAATTCCACTGTAAAACAGAATAACATTGAGCAACTGCTCTGAAAGCTAACGGTGTGTATAGAAACATGTTACTAATGGATCATCTATACAGTTATAGATCATCAAGGAAGATGATGGGAAAAATTAATTTGGGCTGCATGCATTTTTAATTGAGAGACATTACAAGAATTTGGCTTTAGAAATACGTAGGAAAGTGCCGAGCTCTTTCCAAGCTCAAATTTTCTTCTTGTCCATATATAGAATGATCTCTCGTCGAACAACGTCTATAGTCCTTTCTGCTTATTCACAAACATAAAATATATTTTTACCCCATTCAGGGCAGCACTAATAGCTTTATTATTTTCTGACTAGTAACTACAGGGAGTATAAATACCAACATAGACAGTTTAATATGGTCAAAAATCGCCAAATCGTCATGTTTATATATTGATACAGTTTTGCTAGTTCATATATCTATTTTGAGAAACTAAATTTTCAGCTTGTTATTTGGTAAATCGCGAGGACAGCCGAACATTTACTAAAATTGAAATAATGAGGAAATGGGTGGTTCAAAACATGAAATGCAGAGTAATATGTTTCTCTAAATCTTGGATAACAACGTGTGCAAACACTGTGCCCTAAATAATGCTAGCTTTTACTCATTTTGTAATTTAGTTGCATCGTTTTCAAACGGTCATAACTGCCAGGAAAGACAGCAATACATTATACTATACTCATTTTGTAATTTACGTCTTCAAGGACAATACAAGCCTATACTAATAGGGCTCTATAGATGCCTGAAGGCTTCTATGCTCAATTGTACAAGGCATCTATATACGCCACGTATATAGACGTTTTTCGTATATACTTTTAGTATACGTTGTCAAGGACAATGTGCCATTGACATTGACTAATTGATTGTCCATGTTTAGCCGCCAGTGCTAATAGCGACTATTTCTATAACTTCGCCATTGCATTGCCCCACGGCGCACATGTTATCTATTAAGCCTGGCACCATTTTATTAAAACATCATCTCGAGTTAGATAGTAACCAGAGCCATGCACGAGGATTCCAATCGAGTTATGATTCGAGTCACCGGAGGACTCGTTACAGAATAGATCGTTTTACTGGGATTGCTCCCCAACTCAGCCATGCATTTTCGATTCATTTTTGGTGACTGGTGTTTTACAATTATATAATCATTTATGAAGTCGATATATGAAGCTAGATCGACTCCTTCAGAAGCATTAAATTAGTTCCTTAAAATGTCCTGAAACCATTGGCAAATACATTTATATTTTTATATAATTTCAATTTTGAAACCGCATCGTGGACATTTTGAACTTAATAATATAACACTTTTCAAAAATTGGTCTCCCATACTCAGCTTGTTCGCGGGTGCGAGGTATTCTCCCCACCTAAAAAAGTTCCATAGATTTCCACTCCCCATACAATGTAAAATTTACAAATAACGCTAAGATTATCAGATTAACATCATACGAAAATTATAATAATGAACTTTTTATAAAATCTAGTAAGCTACTGACATAATTACAGAAACCTGCGCTAACACGGCATAGTACAAAACATGGACTGGACTCGACTGGACTGGACTGGACAGTTGGACTGGACTGCGACAGTTAGACTGGACTGATTTTTACATTTTCTCTATTTTTGACTTGCACAAAAGAATATTTCATCACAGAATAGATATACCATGTCAAGTCTATTTTGTGATTTTATCAATGAACATTGTCTGATGTGACAGGAGTAGATTGGTTGCAGTCAAGAATATAGCGTTTTGCACCTGAATTACTTTTGATTTTCGGAAGTTGAAATACTTTACCTTCGCCGATGACTTCACTTTATAATTGGAGCGAATTCCCTTAAAGCGAAACAAAGCCTAGTAAGTAGACTGACAATAGCAAACAAAAACTACTTATTTACTGAGACTTTGGAAAAGCAGTGTGTTTTGTAGACCCTCGACCGTCGATGTTTCCCGGCTCGACTTCGCCTCGGGAAACATCGTGACAGTCTCGGGTCCACAAAACACACTGTTTCCCTCGGTCTCAGTAAATAAGTGATAAATATTTCAGTCTGCATAGCCATAGGAAGATCGATAATTAGGGGGGGGCTCATATTATTGTATTCATGTTCGCAGACCGTAAAAACAATCAATTTCAAAAGAAGTGAATAATGCAAAACACGAATATATGAATATGAGCTCCCCAATGGACCATTTGCATTATAGACTAAATTTTGATCTAGACAAAAATTTCATCACAGCTTCAAAGAGCATCACAAAATTAGTAATATTCCAAAGTTTCGTTGCGAAATGTTGTAAAATGCGGATAATATGGCCTTGCGAAATTTGCAATTTTCAGTCATTTTGTATTACAAATGGAATTGATGCCCCAACCAACACCCGATTGGGCGGTCAATTTCCCGTGCGCAATACAAAATGACTGAAAAACGGCAAATTTTGCATGGCTATATTATCTGCATTTTACAACATTTCGCAACGAAACTTTGGAATATTACTAATTTTGTGATGCTCTTTCAAGCTGTGATGAAATTTTTGTCTAGATCAAAATTTAGTCTATAATGCAAATGCCATTATCGATCTTCCTACGCTTGTGTTAGTATGCGAGCAGTCAACCATATATC